GAGTATGTGTTAGTATATGTTTATAAGGAGTATGTGTTAGTATATGTGTTATTTTAGAATATAGGACTAGATGGTGAAAAGCTCTTGTATGTTTGCAGGTTTAAGTTACCAGCTGCCATTAGATGTTAGCAGGTGTTAGCGTTCACTGCAGACGTTAGAGGTATACCATCAGTTGTGCGCCTTAAATCTGACTGGCTACTGGGCTTGTATGGCAGTACTATGAAAGGCATGTGATCAGACATCATTACCTCTATGCCTTTTTAAACCGAATGCCTTCCCCTTTTAGAACATAGGACAGTGTGTGATGTTTATTTCATAGTCTGACCCCCAGATCTCTGAGCAGCCTGATGGTGGGTGTTGCAATGAAACCCCTGCAGCCAATCCCCACATGGAAAATTATTGCTTTGCCTTGGTGCTCTGCCTCAAATGCCATGTCCGCATATCGCAGCCTTTTCCTCTCATTTGCTTCATTAACATTATCCGCCCAAGGTACTGTCAATTCTACAAGTAGACGATGTGCAGAGAGTTGGAACAGAGTACCAGGTCTGGTTTCAGGGTGGTAGTGACAATATGTAATTGGACTGTAAGCCGCTGGCCCATGTCCACCAACATTCCCTTGTGGAAAATTGGTTTTCTTTGTACTGCACTTGATGTTTTGGATGGCAAGGCATCGTTAGCAATTCTCTTTGTTTCACTTGTTGCTGCAATGCATTTGTGTACGTGGTTGTGTCTCTGAGTGCCTGAGGGTAGTTGGAGTTGAGCATAGTTGGCAGGATGGGTCTTCATTCAGCCCAGGTTGGTTTTTGGATGGGGAAGTTATTGGTTGCTCTAAGCAGGAAGCTCACCCTTGCTGACGCTGGATTTCCAGGACTACCAATTTTTGCCGCTCTGCAGGAGTTGATTTGTTCCACAGGGGTCTACTCTGATGTAGGCCCAAACCTCCTCTTCCCTGCTGAAGGTGGCACACAATGTCAGTGTGCTTGAGTGCTGCTTTTGCCTGTTTCATTTTTTAGCGTCCATTTCGGTCCAGTTGTCAGTGATGGTCCAACAGCCCATATAGATTTGTCGTGGGACTCTGAGAGGGTCCATACAGGCCTATGATGAGGTAAAAGGCCAAACTGTGGGGGCGGATTCAGGAATCTCTTCATTTCTTTGTTGGTTGGTTTGTAAACAGGACAGATTACCACTACACTTGGTTGAAGGATGTGTTATGGGTTATAATTTTGGTGAAGCTTGATTGAGTATAAAGGGACTGTTGGGCCTTGATGGAGAAATTACAGTTCAAGTTACTTTTGTATTTGTTAAGTTAATGCGTCAGTGTTCGTGCACTGGTGCTCGAACCTGAAATATGTGTGTTGTATGTGCAGCAGGAAAAGTGTTTAGCTTCATTCATGAATCAGTGAATTATTTTATTATTTCCCATCTTAATGAATTAAGGCCTATGTTTCTCCATTTTGAATAAATACAACCCAACCGTATAGACTTTATCCTCGGATAGTTTTCATCAAAAATCATATAGACGTACATTTATGTTGCTTCATATCAATTTAACAAACAAATTTACATCTGATACATGATCATCTGTTTTCTGGAGACAACATTTTTATATTTCCAAACTAAAGACTTGATTTTATTAACATTTTCTTTACAAACTGGTTGCATTCATATTCATGAAGGGGCAGAGAACTCTTCACTTCAACTTCATGTTCAACATTTAGGTGTTTGTTCCTCATAAGCATTTGATGTAATTTGCCTGTAGGTATAAAATCATACGTTAATATCTGTTATCATAATTATCGTCCACTGTGAGATGTTTACGTGTGTTGCAGTTTAGTTTCATGTCCCAGGAGACACTGTAATTAACTGGCAGCAACTGGATAGCATCAGAATGAGCTGATTGCACACAAAACCTCACTTAATGAGGACCAACACAGATGGCTGACGTTCATCTTTTTCAACTGAGTGTAATTTAAGATGTGTTTCAGAGACTTATCTACAGCAGGATTACCTCTACTTTTTCAATTTACATCTCATTCAGGAAACTGGCTCATTTTTAAGACCGCTAATCCTGGCAAACCCTCTCGTGGTGAATTAGACCAAATGCTCATATGGAAGGACATCCGTACAGCAGAGTGACGGGCACCCAGGCCGTCTCAGCTCCATGAACACAGGCAGTGACTACATGAAATGCTTGGGATCAGCCCAGCAGAGGTGCCCTGCAGACTTTAAGAATTCATCATCCCAAAACAAAAGCTTTTCTTGCTGTGGTCAGAGAGTGGAGCTTTATTTTGAACTGTGCTGAATCTGAAAGTTTGTAGAAACATACAGACCGAACCTGTAAGAATGCATATATACATACGTATGTGATGATCCTCCAAAAGAAAGAAAGACTCTCCTCAACTCATATCTACAGTACTGGTAGTCCTGATTTTCAATGTGTGTGCCACTAAAGTCCATTATGCAATGATAGGGAGACTACCAAGCGTCTCATATAGACACGTTGTGCTTTTCAAAACATTCTGTGCTTTTCAGACTACACATTTTCAGCCCAGGGTAACCTTCAGGTGCTGTTTTATTTCCAGTCCACAGAAACTGTTACTGACTCCACACTGACACTTGAACCTGTTGATTCTTAATACCACAGCTCTCTGTTCTCTTCAGATGCACATGACATAGTGAGATGTTTTATCGAAATCTGATCTGGTGTAAAATTGAAGTGATCTGAGCTGATACAGACATAAATCTGCACTTTTGCTTAAATTTGCCAAAGACAATTCGGTTGCTCATTGAGTTCTAATAAAAGGCCTCTAACACATGTACTTATTTAAGTGGCATAAACTTGAGCCTTAACACATTCACTCTCACAGAAACAAGGCTGAAATTCAATTTTAAAGCAAATTTCTTGCTTGAGAATCATTTCTCATACCATCCAAATGTTAGGGGTCAATTGCAAGTATATTATTCTTGATTTAAAATATTATTACTATAATATAAGAATTAAGTATTAAGACTTAAGCGTAAATGTCTGTTGAGCTTTAAACACAAGTTAAAGCTGAGTTTGACCTTGTTTTATAGCGTCAATGTCTGGTGATATTCTGGTTTGATGATATTTTTCATTTTAACCAGCAAATCCCAGGAAAGCAATTTTTTGTGTTAAGCCAAATCATTATATAGTTCACTCAGATTCAGTCACCTCAGCCCTGGGTTACAGTAAATGCAGTGTGAAAAGGGCTCATTAATTCTGCGAACTTTTATTGGCGGTTAAGGGTTGTTGTTTTTTTGTAACTCAGGTTTTTTCAGTAGAAGGGGGCCATGCCTTTAGGAGGAGTATTCATACTCCTCTGCACTGCGTCTCCCAAAGTCCATCCAGCCGAGATAATCTCTGTCCTTTATCCTGTGGCCCGGGGCAAGACCACTGGCTCTGCTGGTGAGGGAGGATCTGGTCTGGTGGGGAGAGCCTGGAGGAAAGAAATGGGAAGATGTCATTCTGCTTGACCAATACATGCAATATAAACACTGTATCATTGTAATGTTTTAACCCTGCTGACTTGACTGTTTCTATTCCCGTCTTGAAGACGAGTGAGCTCAGCGGGGAGTCACACAGCGTTGACTCGAGAAAGAAACACAGATACACAGTGACAGAGGGAGCAGAGGGAGCAGAGGGTGAGGTCAGGAAACAGGGAGGTGAAGGAGGGATGGATAGTTGGAGCAGTAGGGAGGGAGGGAGGGAACGAGGATGAAGTATGGAAAAAGGAAAGGAGGAGAGAGGAAGCTTGAGGGAGGTGGGAAATGCCATATGGTGGGACTCAGGCACAGCATGAGAGACAACAGATTATAGAAGGATGGAGAAACAACACGACCGGGAGCAAACTGAGATGAGACGAATGATCTGTGTGTAATGAGACGACTGAAGGGACAGACTTCGCTCCAGTTACTCTGTCAATCCATCTCTGAGACACTGGACATCGCACTGCTCACCTTTCCTGGAGATGAGTCTGGCCAGAAGCTGGTTCAGGCTGTTTCGAGGGTCTGTGTTCTCCTTGTGTTGGTTGTAGTTGGCGAGCTGCCCTGAGGGTGGCGCTGGAGCTGAGCGGGCCTGACGCGTGTGGTTGGATGAGGGGGGGGGCAGGCTGTCTGACATGAGAGCCTCACCCTCAGCTCTCTGTGGCTAATGAACATAACACAACAGAAACCAGCTTTGTAATAAATATTGTTTTAGATCCATAAAATGGAGAGGTTTTTAAGTCAGTGTACAGAAATATATTTAGTAAGTTTGTGTCTGGCTGTGTATCTTACCATGGACTGTGAGGGCAGACCCAGGGAACTGCTGGACAGGGCAGCCAGGAGAACACACACACAGATACCTACATTCATGACTGCAGAGAAGAGGAGACAACACAACAAATTCAAAATAAATCCACTCCATCTTATGGGCTCATTTTCCTGTTAGATCTCCTCCTCTTTCCTGTGCAAGTCTATCCCTCCACCTTGTTAAATTAATGATTTTGACAGACAGAAAACTAGAGGTAATGAGAGTTTGGCAAAAAGCAGAGATAAATCATTTTGATTATAATTTTGATTGAAACAGTGGTGGAGGTAGAGGTCAACCTCCGATGGTTCAGCTGGAACCTCAGGCAAACATGATTTTGTCGCACACACACACACACACACACACACAGGGGTGTGGGGTGTGTAGTTGAGATGAATTACCCCTGTCAGCATTTGCAGAATCCGAAAGGAAACTCAACAATTATCTCTAAGTCTTCATTTTGCTGCATGTGCTGTTTTTTTAACAAGAGTGAGGTGATATTAACGATTCCACTGAGATCATAAAAATTACTACTTTATTATCGATTCATGAGTTTTCTTTATTGGCTTCAATAAAAGGTAAAACAAATCTAACAGGAGCTTTTCTATGAAAGAGCAGCTGAACATCACATGTGGATGTGCAAAAAGCAAGAAAAGATGATATGACACCGATCAGACTGAATATTGCCTTTGTCAGCCTGATGTGTGAATGCTGTATTTTTCTTTGAGTCTGCTACAGAACATCAGCTGTAGCATTAGTTGTGATGATTTACGCTCTGTATCAGAACATTCATCCAGTTTGTCAACAGTAGTCGTTTCAATAATTCAAAACCCCACTTTCTCTGTCTGTGTTTCTGTTACAGCAGAAATCTAATTTGTCTTGGTTCAATCTCTCTCTCTCTCTCTCTTTGTTTTTGCCTGTTTGTCTGTATTTCTTCACAGAGTGAGGAGGGGGTCCTTTTGCTGCATTAAATCACACACTCTGGATCATGTCATGATGATCGCAACTCAGAGAAGTGCTGTGAAATCTAGATATAGATTATATGGATAAACTTCTTTGTGAGGACTATAATGTAAATTGAGATTGCCCAGAATTGAAACTGATAAACATGCGTACTCCAAACAAAGACTTGTTCAACCCTCAGTTGCCTGGATAATGTTCTTCCTCAGTTTGCTGAACGTGATGATGAAGATGAAAATATCACATATGTCATAATACAACAGACACAGTAAAGCATCTTGGAATAAAACTGTAGAATTTATATCTGTGGGCAATTAGCACAAACAGGCCATTTGAATACTGCTTGTTTAAACAGTCATTCTGTGGATGTTAATATAATTCCTGTTTGCAGCTGGTCATTGTCTCTCATTCATTATTCAATGAGCTGGTAATGGTGTGGTATTGTCTTGTCTGTGAGAGCCCTCTCCTCCTCACACACACAAATATTTTAAACGCCTCCATTCTAGTCCTTTTTAATCTATATTTTACATTCTACTTTTATAAGCTTCAACTTCCTGAGCTACAAATAGCGATGAAGAAAGATCAAACACCATGATAGACCTGTTTGAATTCAATTAATTGTGTAAAACAAATTCCCACATTTCTATTCTTCTACTCAACTTCAAAGATGAAACATTCAAGTTTTGGGGGACAAGGCACAAAAATTCATTGTAATACATTTGTAATACAAGCGGCTGAAACAAACAACAGACAAACACTTAAGTTTCCTAAAGAGAGAATGCAGCATCAGTTCAGTTCTTACCTGCGGCTGTTGGTGTGGCTGAGGATGCTGATCTTTGCACGTCCAGTGTTGAGGCCGTGACTGAGGGACAGAGAAAGGAGACCATGCTTTATACTGACACACAGGAGGGAGGAGGAGTCAGGGCAGAGGGGAGGAGCCAGCTGCATGCGCAGAAACTGATGCCACTGACGCAACAGTGGACGCAAACATGCACACATGCAGCGGACGCACAAATGAACACACACACGCAGACACACACACAAACTGTATATAAAAAAGTGAGAAAGGGTTGGGACAGAGGTGACAGCTTTAATTGTGTGGCCCTTTAACTCACCTGTATCAAAAAAAAAAGAGAGGAACACACGCACACACACACACACACACACACACACAC